GTTGCTTCTTGTCCTGCCTTCAGGCGCCTTGGAAAATAGCTTGACTCCCTCTTCTTTGTGGCAGCCCCTGAGATATTGGAATACTGCTATCATGTCCCCCCTCGTCCTTCTCTTCATTAAAAGTAGACATACCCAATTCCAGCAGCCTTTCCTTATATGCTTTGGCCTCCAGTCCCCTAATCATCTTTGTTGCTCTTCTCTGCACTCTTTCTAGAGTCTCAGCATCTTTTTTACATCGCGGTGACCAAGACTGGATGCAGTATTCCAAGTGTGGCCTTACCAAGGCATTGTAAAGTGGTATTAACACTTCACGTGATCTTGATTCTATCCCTCTGTTAATGCAGCCCAGCACTGTATTGGCTGTTTTGGCAGCTGCAGCACATGGCTGGCTCATATTTAGGTGATTGTCCACTAGGACTCCGAGGTCCCTCTCACAGTTGCTACTATTGAGCAAGGTACCCCCCTATACTATACCTGTACATTTGTTTTTTCTTGCCTAAATGTAGAACCTTACTTTTTTCGCCATTGAATTTCATTTTGTTAGATAGCGCCCAGTGTTCAAGTCTGTCCAGATCCTCCTGTATCCTAAGCCTGTCTTCTGGAGTGTTGGCTATTCCTGCCAGCTTGGTGTCATCCGCAAATTTGATGAGTTCCCCATCTATCCCCTCGTCCAGATCGTTGATGAACATGTTGAAGAGCACTTGGGCCCAGAACAGAAATCCTAGAGATAGATCTGCTGTTCCCAACGTAAAAGTTCATAACCTTTGATTTGCCCTTTCTGCTAAATGAGATACATCCTTCCTCTCTGTAGGAACACTAAAAAGTTAGTCAGTTTCCAGGAAGTAAGAGATTGTAAATGAAACATTAGTTTCTGCCATCTCTTCCCACAAAATCTAAAAGGAAGAATCTCACAGATCTTCCAAGGCAGAGGGTTCCTCTTTTTTTTTTTTTTTTGTTAAGCTCCCTGGCTGGCAAAGGAGGAAGTAGCCATCCTTAAAAATCCATGCAAGGAAAGTGTGTCAATACTAGAACAGGGTCTCCAAGCTTGGCAACTTTAAGACTTGTGGACTGCAACTCCTAGAATTCTCTGGCCAGCACTGCTGGCTGAGGAGCTCCGGGAGCTGAAGTCTACAAGTCTTAAAGTTGCCAAGCTTGGAGACCCCTGCTATAAAATATTGTTCTGTTCATGAACTTGTAGTCTTTGCTGTTATACTTGTTTCCATTTCATTGAATTAGAACTGAAAGTGAGAGAAAATGGCGTGGGGAAAGTGGGTGGCTTTCGGGATCAGAATTAAATGAATCGGAATTCAGACTAACGTGTCAATTGTATTTGGGTTTCATTCAAGCTAAGCAACTGACATCTCTGCATGTCTCTTCATTGTCAATGTTAGGGTCCAAAAGCATTGTTGGTCAAGCAAAAGGTCTTGAACACTATTTTAAAATAGTTTTTATTTCTTAACACTATCCAGTAACCACTTCTCCTTGCCGTGCTTCCTAGTTATTAACTCCTGCCTCCTCACCATCCCAGGCAACTGATTCATGGTCCAGCAAAGAAAACACATTAATTTGGCACCACCTGGGATGACACTATGCCTAATGAGTATTATTAGGTGTGGTTAAGAATATGAGCTCAAGCGTGTATTCAAGGTCTAACAACTCTTTTATTTCTAAAAGAGTTGGGTTTTTTTAGTGGTAAAATAACGCTTTTTTTTTTTTTTAGCCCAGTTGATTTATTCTATTTAATTTAGAGCTTAATTCAAAGAATGATACATTCATAAATCTTAGTCCTTTGGAGGATATGGTCTTTTCTTTGATTTTGGTATCACTCAGATTCTTCTAACAGTAGTTTCCACATGAAGACCAAGAGAATATATGATAATAGCTTTCGAGTATCAGAAAGATTGGTGCACTGAAGAGGGCAGGATCAGATCTAGTGGGTTAATCCTATAAGGATGTAGGGTCATACTAGATGTCAGAAGGAACTTCCAAATTGCACAAGTGGTCAGCTGGTGAATGAGGCTGGCATAAGAAGTGGTGAGTTGTACTTTGCTGGAGATCTTCAAACAGGAGCTGTCATCTGTCAGTGATATAATGTTCCTGTACTTAGCAGGGAGTTTAACTAGATAATTGCTGAAGTCACTCAACTCAATGACTTTATAACATTTCTTCTTAGCTATTGCAAGTATTTAGGGGACTGGAGGCTAAGGCATATAAGGAACAGTTGCTGGAATTGGGTATGTCTAGTTTAACGAAGAGAAGGACAAGGGGGGACATGATAGCAGTGTTCCAATATCTCAGGGGCTGCCCCAAAGAAGAGGGAGTCAAGCTATTCTCCAAGGCGCCTGAAGGCAGGACAAGAAGCAACGGGTGGAAACTGATTAAGGAGAGAAGCAGCCTAGAACTAAGGAGAAACTTCCTGACAGTGAGAACAATTAACCAGTGGAACAACCTGCCTCCAGAAGCGGTGAAAGCTCCAACACTGGAAGTTTTTAAGAAGAGACTGGACAGCCATTTGTCTGAAATAGTATAGGGTTTCCTGCCTGAGCAGGGGGTTGGACTAGATGACGACCTCCAAGGTCCCTTCCAACTTTACTATTATTATTATTATTATTATTATTATTATATTTGTTTGTTTGGGTTGGTTTTTTTAAAAAACTTTGTAGTAGTTTGCCTACAAAGAGTCTTTCCTAGTTGGTTACCAATCTAGACAAAGTCCATATATACAGTATCTAAAATTCTGACTCATTTGCTACCACCCCTTCTGATTTATTACAATAACAGGGTACCTAGAATTGGATTCAGGAGCTTATGCATTTCTCAGGATAGTATCAGGTTTTTTTTAAAACTGGTTCAGTTGCTTCACAAGAAATGTAACCTAGATTATAAGACGAAAGCAGGTTAGAGATGTATAGGTGGGAAGTCTGATACAGCAGCTGTAATTCTTGTCTTTTATGAAATCTTGTCTCATAAAATGACAGGGAATCATAAGGATTTTTTTGGTTCTTTCCGCCAATCGAATCTGTTTGCATCAGTTTTTTTTAATCTTTTTTTTTTTTTGCTGTACAGTTGGCTCTTCATCACTAGTAAGGATCTCTGACCATCTTTTCTTTAAAAAAAACTTTTTTTTTAAAGAAAAAATACCATTGTTCACCTCTTACTAGTATTTCAGAATACTGGATGCATAACTGAACTACCTGTAATTCACAACTTGTAGATTTTAAGATGATTTTTTTCATTTGGGTTTTATAATTCTACTTGGATGCGGTTTTCAGGCAGTGGCAGCTTGTAGCAAGCACCCTCTGTGGTTGTATTATATCTTTTCATCGGTCTGCCAGACTCTTGAAGGTACTGAATATGTAGATGAATCATGGTGATTCCATTTGATTCATCACGATTATTGGATGCTCATAAGAAGCTTCATCAGGAGTCAAACTGCAGTGTTTTCCCTCCCCATTGTTCCAAATACACCAGTGTAGTTTCCAGTCACAATGAGTGGGTAGTATCTTAACATGGAGAAATACTGCTTGAAGAAACTGAAGCACAAAAACTTAAGTCATTGCTCCTTTCAACTCTCAACCCAACTCTAGGCTTGGGTTACAGACTTGGATGCAGAAATGTCCAAAAGTCAGATGACATCAATGATGATCAAGATGATGGTTCCATAAAGTCTTGTTTATGTGCAATGTATTTCAAACTTTGGGGTACCTCTTAGAGCAGTGATGGTGAACCTTTTAGAGACCGAGTGTCCAAAAACCAGCCCCTCCCCATCCCCCAGCAGCACCATGGCTACGCCCTCCACCCGCACCCTGTAGCATCAACTGCGTGCAATGGGCATGAGGGTGGAGTCTTGTCTCTGCTGCCCGGCTGCCATGTCCTTGGCTGCACTGCTCCGTGCGGGCCGCACCCAGGGGCGACTCTCCTCCAGGGGGGCTGCTGGTGAGGGGGCCACAAGGGGAGGCGGGGTTGGGGTGATGGCGCGCGTGCCCACAGAGAGGGCTCTGAATGCTGCCTCTGGCACACGTGCCATAGGTTCGACACCACTGTTTTAGAGGGTGTTTTGACCAGACCCTACGAACACCCTGCTTATCAACGCTTCTTTGCTTTGCTTTTATTTTCTATGACACTTGAAGCCCACCTGTTGGCCAGCTCCTTCCTGTCTTGAATGGTTTTGTTTTCTTCCCTTCTTCAGGTGTCCCTGATGAAGAAGTTTTTGCAGCCGAATGCACCCGCAGAGGACAAAATGCCTTACCTTTCCAGCCGGCTAACGTCCGTTCTCCAAAGTCCCTGAAGCCCACCACCTACCCCAAGCATGTCTTCCACTGTAATAGTGATGAGGATGACGACTTGGTGATGACCAACTGGGAGAATCCCTTTTATTCATCAGGTGTGCACAAAACAGGGCATGAGAAGCTGGTAAATAAACGGGAACTGGTGGGAAAACCAGGGGAAAAAGATTCGAGGAGTAGCGAGGAACTGAAAAAGAAGAACCGAAGGAAACCATGGGGCTGCACCCTGGTTTAGAGCTAGCATTTCATGTGCATTTCTTTCATCCTCTGCCTTTAGAGAGGCTTCAAAATATTTTGAGTCCCATCCGTCCCCAGCAAATTGTGAAAAATACCAGTGTAAAAATCCATCCACTATGCCCATAGCTATGACAAGCTTGTTGCTAAGCTGCATCTTGTGCCTGTTAGCTGGCATTTTGTCCGCTTCCCTTGCTTCAGATTCAGGCTTGTCAATTACGGAATAATCTTGAGTTTTGGAGTGTGGGATCATCTTTTCCGCCCATTACTTTTTAATGCTCACATCCAGTCAGAACTTTTCAAGGAAGGCTCACGTGCGTCTTTATATTTTCTTTTGAAAACTTTGCAACTCGGCCGATGAGTTGAGATGCCGAGCAGCCTGCTCAGTATTTTGTTCATTTCAGTCATTGCAAGATCTAAAATATCTAATTTGCAGATTAATGCTACAAGACTCACATTTTCTTTGGCATCCAGGATTAACAAGAGCTTTAACATGAGTAATCTGTTGTTTATACCCTATTTGTTTTACTGGCTGCCATCATAGGAGAGGCAAGTGCATTAAACTGCTGTTTTACGAATGTGCTAAAATGAGAAATTGCAGCATTGTATACGTGGCTACACAATCATTCAGTTTCCTTTGCTTTACATCTCAGAATTCCTGTTAGGAAATGGTTGGGTTTTTTTTTTCCCAAGAAAGCTCTCCCAATTTGCCATGCAGGGCATCCATTCTCCCTTCCAAGCCTTACGGAAATTGGAACAAAATTCATCTAGAGATAAAGAAGACTACAGATAGTCTGTGTTTAGTGACTTCCCTGTTTAGTGACCATATGCAGCAATGATGGTGAAAGAAAAGGAACTGTAAAACCAATCCTTGCATTTACAACCCGTGAGATTTGTAAAGCAAAGGAAAGTTGAAGCAAGATCATGAGCGTAGTCATGGTTTCACTTAGCGTCCAGTTTGCTTAATGACAAATGGCCAGTTCTGTTTGGGGTTGCTAGATATGGACTGCCTATATGACTCTATAAGAATGATCTTGAACTTTCAGAGTATCTCTTTCGGGCTTTGCAATTCATTGAGAGCTGAGGGTTGGTTTTTTTTTGGGGGGGGGGTTTAAAGGAGTTTCAAATTGTGTACATTTAAGAATTCAGAAACAGCTGCAAGAATTGCTAGTGCCTTACTGCATACTCATAACATCTGCTCTCCTATGATTTCAGTCACGTCTCACTGAATTGCATCTATTGCTTCTGTAATGGTGAAACTTTTTTACAGGTGCAACTTTCTTCCTCTCTCATCTGAGCTTAGGATCAGCAAAGATGGACTTGTTGCAACTTTAGAACATTTTTTTATTATTATTAAAGGAGATCCCTGCACCCTTCTTGCCTTTCCCCCTGCTGGCCTTTGAGGCCACTCCTTGCCACAATGGGGTATTGCACACGTTGAGAATGCTCAGTGGACAGAAACAGTGTGTTCTTTTCACAGCCTAAAAGATGATGCCTTCTATAATTATTAATTGAAAAATAGAAGGATGCCCACCTCTGCCCCCAGATAACGGCTGATGCAGCAACCGCCATCTCATTGCTTCTGTCACCCCTGTTGCAGCTTGACAGCTTTTGGCGACTTCAAATAGTTACCATTAGATTTCTGCAGAATCCCCCACAACCTACTATTCATTATTTTAAAATGCTAAACATACTACACTACAACAGATAGTGTTCTTTCAGCAATGGACAAGCAAGGCGAGAGGGGTTTGTGAAAGTGACAATTCTTTAACTCAGCCTGGCAGCACGGGTGGAAAGGTTATGGTATATTTATTTTCAGACACAAAGGAGAGAAGAAAAAAAAACTAGTAATTAAGGCTTTAAAATCCTCACATTTGATCAGGGCATTCATTCGCCAGGTAAGCAATCATGATTTCTACAGTATGCACTTCAGAAACAAGCTCCAGTTGAATCCATTGCCAGGATTGGGAGCAATTAAAAGAAATGGATTTGCTGATCAGCTTTTTCAGTTATTGGGAGGTGGTGTAACATATTTATTAGTTGAACATCTGGGTCTTGTCATCAGGATGTGACTAATTCATTATCCAGCTAAAGCCAAGTATTGATTGTCAGGAATTGCTGTTATCTTTAGGGAACTGCTGCTAGTTGGAAGAAGTAATACAAGCAGTGCTGACTAATAATAATCTGTTTAATGATGATTCAAAGTTATGACAGCACTGAAAAAAGTGACTTTTGACCTGTCCTCAAAGTTATGACCGTTGTACCACTAGCATCGTGATTGTGATTTAGGCACTTAGCAATCGCTCACATTTACAACAGTTAGCAACAAGATGGGCCAAAAATCTGGGAGAACTGCCTGTTAGATTCTCCTTTGCAAACTATCCAGCTGTCAGTTGTTAGCCCCAGTTTTGGAAGTGAAACTACCCTATTTTTGCTACTGACTCTTGCTAAAAGAGAGTGAGAAATAACTTATAACAGAAATAGAAACTCAGCCATCAAAAGAAGAGTTGTGGGGTAGCTTGTAAGTACAAATTGAAATATTTTGTTACAGAGCAGTCTTGTCTTAAACATATTTTTTTCTTTGGGGGTAAAGGAAGATAATCATCATTTTCAAAATGATGATGACAATGATGGAGAAGAAAGAAGTCCACTTGTTTTTCTGTATGGCGTCTTCTCCAAAACGAAGCTTCCTTTGCTTGCCTTTAATTTGCTTATACTAACTAATGAACGTCCTGTAGCTTAGTTGAACCACACTTTTTCAGAAAGTTCTTGAGATGCAACTACTTAAAAAGATGAATGTCTCTTGGTAGATAGCAAGCACTAGTTGATGTAATGGGCTAAATTATGTCAGGAGGGTGAAGTTTTGAGAGAATTTTCCCAGGCCTCCTGGGCACAAATTTTCTCCAATGGTATCATCCATCTCCTCCATGGTTATGGAGAGCAATGCATGGGAAAAAGCCAGCTGTGCTTCATCTGCATCTCCTGTTTGCCCAGAAAAGGACAAGAATGTCAAACAAGAAGTTTTCACTCCTGTCCTTTTCTTTTCAATGGCTCACATTCTTCTGGATGTATTGAAAGCAGTACCTAATACTGCTCAAAATCTTTGGCAGAGATTTAGAGTAGGCTGTTCAATTCATTTTCCATGAAAAGGTCCATGACTAAAGCACAGGCTAGGATTCATACCATAGAATAGAAGCTCTAGAAGATGGCTTCTTAAAAAAATTGAAGAGATTTCTGTGATAGATATGCCTGTAGTGAAGTCAGAGCTTCTAATGGTATTTGAAGGCCCTACAGCAAGGATGTGCCTTATTGAGTAGAAGGCAACACTGTTGATCCGATAACATTGAAGTTACGTAGGAAATTTGCTTATACCTCTTTTTCAGAAGATCTGGCTCAAATTTTGAGGGAACAATCTTTACATTGGGGTAGTTCTGCTATATGAACAATGTTTTACAAGCCATGTCTCCTCAGGACACAAAGAAGTCAGCAAGCGGAAGAAGCAGAAGCTGAGGGAGGAACAGAAGAAGAAGAAATCGGCCAAGGCACCATATTAAAATGGATTCTGATGTCCCCAGAAGCTATTCTTTTGTTGTTATACCATTTGATCATACCCAGGTTCTTGGTGCATATATTTCTTACAGCTATTCTCACTTAGCAATGAGATAACAGTTAAAATACACTAAAGTTGCACTATTATGCTTGAGCACCACATACTTGTTGAAGTTGCGATATAAGATACCCCAGTTTAGAAAATCCATCCCAGTTAGAGTAAACAAGTGTTAATAGTCAGGATGTCAGATACCATAAAATACAGCAGATTTTGATTAAAATTGTTGAAGACATCGTAATACAATAGGGCCCTCTTCCTGTCCTGGGTTAAACATGTTTATTCAAAGATTGGTAAGGTGTAAGCAATATTGTTATTTTTTTAAAAAGTCGCCATCATGAATATTTTTTAATTTCTAAAATAATCCCAGTAGAACTTTAACATATTTAAATTTGTGCCCAATGAGAATGGGATTAAATTATGCATTTACCTGGATCATACAGCTGAGAATTTTTTAGGGATTGTGGTTTTTATTTTACATTTATTTACCCCCCCCCTCCCCCAGGGAAAAGTAGTTTCCATTTTGACCTGTGCTATTATTTATGTATCCTGTAATGATTGAACAATATAGATTCACAAAGAACTGTTTTGGGAACTAGATCCTTGTGAGCATGTTATGATCCCAACATTTCTAGCAGGACAAATTATAGTTGACCTTGGAAACAGTACATGACTGTCATTGACTGGAAATAAGCAGTCATTACAAATTGCGCCTAGGTGTGTGTGGTATAAAATAAGAATCATAGTTACATTTAGGCCGTCAAAATTTATCTTCTTTCACCACATGATACTAAATTGATCTACAATATCATTCGTATACTAGATGTACCCATATATAGCTAATTAGCTTGCATTGAGTGGGTGGGCATGCACATACATAATTGGAAATTTAAGGATATAAATATAGCAAGATTACATAATCCCCATCTGTATACATGTATAATTTGCATGGTCCATGGCTTCTTTTTAACCTCATAACAAAATACTAAGCCAAAATATCCTTCCAGGCATGGTTACTATGAGCTGCCTTCCTGCTATTTAATCTACAAATTAAAATAGTTGAATGTTTTGGTCTCCTTTTTTTATTTCCCTTTCACCAATATACTGTGTTGTCTATTCTCTCTTATTGAAACCCACGTTTTCTAGAAAAAAATTTAATTATACCAAAATATTGTAGCTTAGGTCAGGAAGAGGTGATGTAAGTGGATTTACAGTACTTGTTTAGATTCAATTGTAATGCTTCTATTATGAAAATGTAATCTTATGCAATTCATTAGGATATATTTAAAAGGAACATGTCTGATTCAAGATGGAGAACCATTTTTTTGTTATGGAAATACCACTGAATTGTTGTGCTGTGTGACTAATATTTAAAGAAATAAAGTAAGTTCCCTTATTACTTAGCTCTTATTTTTTAGTTTGGGAAAATTTTGGAAGCCGAGAATAACCTCATTGGGACATAAAAATCAAATGGAAGATAATATATTTCAATCGATAAATACAGTGATGAATTTCTTTTGGTTTATACTGAAAAATACAAGGACAATTCGGAAATAAACCTCCATTTGGTTATCGGTGACAGATACTCATAGATACAGAACTTTTATTATACATATTACAAAACTACAACGTTACATTACTTTTCGACATAATTGCCATTCAAATTGAAGCACTTGTCATAATGTCTTACAAGGATGAAATTCCTTAGTAATAGTTGCTCATTGCCAAATCTGGGCTATGGGGTGTGTGTGTGATCAAAAACATCCTAACGGGAACTGCTTCAAAAGTTCTTGGGTACATCTAGGGATGTGCGGGTGAGCATTATCATGAATCGACACTACACCAGAAGTCAGCAGGCCCTGACGCTTGTTATGGATGGAGCTTGTCTAAGTTTTTGTAACGTTTCAGAGTAGACTTCTGAACTGATGGTCGAGCCGTGCTCCATGAACTTCACTAGCAGTGCTCCTTTGGCATTTTCACATTTGGCGGGATTTTCTATGGCACCACTGGTGTGTTGGTTATAATGCTCGCCTGCACACCCCTAGACCCACCCAAGAACTTTTGAAGCTGTTCCCCCCCATAGCCCAAATTTGGGGCCGAGCACTACTAAGGAATTTCAAACCTTGTAAGAAGTTATGACGAGTGCCTCAATTTGAATGGCGATTATGTTGAAAAGTAATGTAATGTAGTTTTCTAATGTGTATAATAAAAGTTCTGTATCTCGAGTGTCTGTCACTGATAATCAAACGGTTTATTTCCAAATTGCCCTCGTGTTAATTGGGATTTTTACTGAGAAGATAATAAACCATGAAAATGGTGTGGGTCTAAAAATTAGTAACTAACTTGGCCTTTTATTTAACTGAAGATTTCTAATATTAGACTTCTGGATAATTGTTTCAGTTTTAGAGCAGAAAATCTTACAACATTTCAAAAAGAATTTAATATATTATTTATTTAATGTTATTATTTTTAAAGCTGAGGGGTCAAGATGAGTCCGCAAGGAGAAGGGCAGGATATAAATTTAATAAAATAAATAAATAAATAAATAAGATAATAGCTGTGGCTATACCATCATTTGCCCTTTTAATATAATATACTTAACAAAGAGCATGGTGTTGATGGCATGGTCACAATTGCCACTACATTGAAATCCCCACCATCAATGGATGCTGCTGATCCTAGAATTTCTCACCAAATCAAAACCAGGTTTAGAGTTTAAAAAGATTTTGCAAGGAAAAGGGAAGGAGGAAAAAAAGCAAATAGCCATCAATCTTCTAACCACGAAGGGTGCAGTTCAGAAGCCTACTAATAATCAGAGTCACAACTCTGGGCAGCACTCACTGGTTCAGGAGTTGCAAAGCATGGGCTAATCTATGGATTGTTAGCCATGTTTTAATGATTCAGTCTTAATTGACTGAGTTCCATAACAGACTAAACTAAAACCAGATTGTGATTTGGTTCAGTCTGGAAATCCTAATAATTTGTCTTTTACCATGTCTGTGAAACTTCTTTCTCCTCCAATATAGCATTTAGGAGCTTAATGTTTGACTTGATATTTGATTTGATGGTTGGATCAAGTCTAGATAGAAATATTGGTCAGTTGTGGCCAAAGATGTACAGGATCCAAAGTTATGACCTGGATCCAAAATTCTAATAACTTTTCCACCTCCACCCTGTGTCACACATAAACACACTTCAGGTTGCTTGGCAACACAACTGCATTTACATATTTTTGCTGAAAACTGGCACCTCCAGTTTTTGACAAAGCTATGCCATGGCAAAAAATGGATTTGCTTAATGACTACCATATTTGCTTTATGACCTTCACAAAAAGATTATAAATGATTTTAATGACCATTACAATTCACAATCATAAAGGGCAGGCGCCATTACAGTCATAACTAGAAGGCAATCTATAGTGAAATCCAGACTGAGTGGAATTTGGGGAGGGCAACAAACAGTCTGATTGACATCAACTGGAAAACATTTCAATCAGTTAATTTATCAGGACTATCTGAAGATTAAAAACAAACATCCCGCTTAATATATTAAACACCAGATTACACAAGATCATCTAGCATTACAAACCCAAACCATTGTATAGAACAATATATCAACATGCAAATGAGAGCAAATTACCTAATCTATGACTGGAAATATATATATATATATTGCAATCAGGATTGGGCTGATAAAGAAGACAATGCCAAGGCAATAATCATGACTGACAAACTGAAATGGTTGGGTCTTACATCACACCATCACAATGGTTGGGTTAATGCAACATGTAAGCACAGCTAAAGGAGAGGAGGGGAAGGAAGGAGGCAACCTCCCAAAATTTGCTATTGGACATTTTACATTGCTGAAGGAGAGTAGGAGAGAAGGGATCATCTGAAGCCTGGTGGTTTTAAGAAATGGCAAAGATAGAAGCTTTCTTATTTTATTAGTTTCAAGTTGACCAACACAGTAGACAATCTCTTCCACGATTTCATCTGTGTTCAAATCTTTACTTATTTTTAGACTACTGACTTCCTCTGAGCTGAAAAACTACTTAGATACTACTGGGAATGCTAGAGTTACAGGCTAGACCAGGAAGTCAAAACACATCAAAGAAAAAAGCAACCCATTTCTGTAGAATCTGTTGTCAAAGAAACTGCACAGACTTGTCCATGAAGCCACCAAAGTCTTGAGTTTGCTCTCCCTTTAGTCTTCAACTTATTGCACTCAAGAGTCTTTGCATGCAACTCAGAGATTTGCCTGTTAGCATGCCACAATTAATGAAGACTGGAATAGAGAACATTATTATTATTATTATTATTATTATAATGCCCCTGGACTGCTAAAAGTCTGGAGAGTCATATGTTTCCTATGATAATTTCCTATTAATAAAAAGGAAGCTCTTTAAAAAATAAAATCAAACACCGAAAAGCAATACTAGGACTAACTTCTTTGGTTTTAAATGATTAACAATATCAGTGGTACTGTAAGTACTGACCAACAGGTATTTCTTGTTATTATCCGTTTCTGTTGTGCAAGATAGCATGAAACTTCAAGGAAATGCCTGAAATAAACTAAGAATATAGTACTTGGACCTCTCCCTTTATCACAGGCCTGAACACGTACCCTCACATACATGTTTGATAAATGCTAGAAACTTCACCCCCTTTGTTTCTTGTGCGCCAAAAAAGTACTCACAAGAAATTGCTTTGAGTCTCTTATCCCCCAAAATTGTATGAAACAATTACCTCAATGCCTGTTCCTATCCTTGTGCTGTTATGAAGCTTCTCTCGCAGCTTGGAGAGGATGGAGTAAGGGTTGTTTCCAATAGATTAAATCATTAAAAACATTATAGAAGGGAGATGACTTTTCCGGAGAGTGGGAAATCGGAGAAAAACCATTTCAGATTAGATAGTTTGGAACAGGAAATTCCGCTAGGATTAAATTGACACTCCCCAACTTTAATAAAATTATCCCTGTTCCCAGCCGAAGGTGGCTGTTAGCTTATGTCTTACTTTATGCCTTGTAATCTGTCCAGCTCAACATCAGTTTCCTGATTCATGCTGATGGGTGTAACCATTCATTCACAGCTACTTAACTGAAAATCTTCTGAAGATCAGCCAAATTCTTTGTACAGATTAATCTAAAGAGCTCCTGAAGTCTTCTGGATGAGCCAGCCATTCTGAAGTCTTTTTCTTTCCTATCACACAATAAAAATTACCCTGGACTTTTAAGAAAATCTTGGATTGATATATATTAAATGCTGCATAATAAGGGAGGCTCCAGACTCATATCTCGTGAGACAATATAATGCCAATTGGGGAAGACGGAAATTGCAGACATATCAGTCTGATGGACATCTAGTTGTGATTGATCTTCAGATGTTCAGCATCATGCAGCCAAAAAAAGGGGGGGCTTTTCTGAAACCTGATCTTAATTGCTGTTAAGTATCTCAGAATGGGAGAAAATTATTGACCAAACTGATTTCCAAATGATACAGCATCTAAGGGGTTCTTGTTGCTTTGTGAGCTTGGTTGTTTTCTTGTAGACATTTCATTACCCAACTAGGTTACATCATCAGTGCTGGTGACAAAGACCCGCATTTCAACCCTATAATATTCTCCTTTATTGACAGAGCATCTAGTCATCCTTGTATAAACTACACTTAGAAGCCAGCCCAACTGCTGGGAAGAGGTAAAACTCTTTTCTCCCTGAAAAAGTACAAAAGAGAAAGCAAGAAACAAATTGCTATGAATTACTTATATATAAACTCCATGTGTGAAAAAAGGATTTTACTGGATTTTTCTCCTGCTGTGGCTTTAATCTTTTTTCTAATAATAAGCACTGGAGATATCTGTTTTTCTTCACTGTTAGGACCAAGAAAGGATCGCAGTACAAAATGCTGCTTGAGAGTTTGAGTAACTACAGTATATTGCCATTTTTCAGCAACTCTGGTTAAAGATAGTTCTAAGGCTCGGTCATTTGCCATTTTTGTGGCTTAAATTGCAGATTCCTGCCTTAAAAGACTATAGTTAGTATCTCAAGACTTAAAATGGACACCTAACATCAAAAACGTTGTCAAAAAAACACAACAAAGAATGTTCTTCCTGCGCCATCTCAGAAAGCTCAGACTGCCCAAGAAGCTGCTGATTCAGTTCTACAGAGGAATTATTGAGTCTGTCATCTGCTCCTCTATAACTGTCTGGTTTGGTTCTGAAACCAAATAAGACAGACACAGACTTCAATGGATATTTGGGACTGCAGAAAAAACAATTGCTACCAGCCAGCCTTTTATTGAGGATCTGTATACTGCACAAGTCAAAAAGAAGGCTGTGAAAATATCTACATCCTGGACATAAATTGTTTCAGCTTCTACCCTCCAAATGACACTAGTCAC